CGTCGTGGTCGTCGTCGACGTCGTCGTGGTCGTTGTTGTCGGCAGTCGGGGTCGTCGTGGTCATCTACGCGTTACGGCTGCTCTATTGCAAGTTGGCAGGCGCGTTTTTCCATGTTTGTTTTTGATGTCTTCTTTCCTCCACCCCCTCCTTCGCTTCCGAACCAGATTCCCAGCGTCTTCGCTTCACCCTGGAGGACAGGGTGAGGACGGTCCTGCGGCAGGACTTCTTGCCGACAGCCCAGACCAGCTTCCCTCGGTGGCATCGCATCGTGGGGTTGGCCTAGTCGTGAGACAAACAGGTGTTGCACACTTTCAAACCCTGGACATGCGATTTCTGGCAGTACGAAGCGAGAGTCCCATTTTGAGAAGGAGTCGCCTTCTATCCGCGTAGCGGTTGCACAACTTTGGGATTTCGGGTCATGGAATTCGAGGGCGCTTCAAGCGAGAGCCGCATTTTGAAAACGATTGCACGCTTTTGGGACGCATGTGCGCGGCGCTTGGGTGGGAACCCCATCTTGAAGACCACCAGCCCTCAATCTGCGTGTTTGTTTGCGTTTCTTTCAGCATCAGCACGGGACAGTGCAAGGCCGTCTGAATCGAAACGCCCGACCTGGCCTGCGGACACGTTTGGTGAGAAAAGGAGGAGGAAGAGGGATGTTGGTGTGGTGATGATGGTGGTGGTGATGATGCTGCTTCTGCTGCTGCTGATAATGATGGTGGTGGTGGTGATGATGATGATGATGAGGATGCTGCTGATGATGAGGAGGATGAGGATGAGGACGAGGATGCTGATGCTGCTGCGGATGCTGCTGCAGATGATGCTGATGCTGCTGATGAGGATACTGATGCTGATGCTGATGCTAATGCTGATGCTGCTGCTGATGCTGATGCTGATGCTGCTGATGATGATGATGACGCTGCTGATGCTGATGATGCTGCTGATGTTGATGTGTTGCTGCTGATGAGGGTGATTATGATGACGAGGGTGATGCTGATGACGATGATGATGGCGACGATGATGATGATGATCACGATGAGGAGGAGTACGATAATGATGATGCTGATGCTGCTGCTGATGATGATGATACTGATGAGGACGACGACGATGATGATGCTGATGATGATGATGATGATGATGATGAGGATGCTGATGCTGCTGATGATGATGATGATGATGATGATGATGATGAGGATGAGGATGAGGATGAAGGATGAGAAGGAGGAAAAGGAGGAGGAGGATGGTGAGGACGAGGAGGAGGAGGAGGCGGAGGAGGATCGTGGGGAGGACGAAGGGAAAATCAGGTTCTCGTCAATGTCTTTCCACGCTTTCCTGCCATTGATCCGGAGGGCCGTAGAGAATGCGTCGAGGACCCACTCTGATGCCGTCTCCCGTGTTTGCTCGCTTCCTCCCTCTCCTTCCGCCGTTCGTTCGCTCGCTCCCGCCTTCCTCTCTCGCTCGTTCGTTCGTTCGCTTCCTCCCTCTGTTCCTTGCTGCTCGTTCGCTCCCTCGCCGCTTGGCTCGATCGCATGCCTAATCGCGCGCACATCACAGCGTAGAGGGCCAGAGAGAGTTGGCAGTGTGGAGCACTCGTGGTTTCGTGACCCTGAGCGGACACACTCTCGCGTACACATGCGTCTGCAAGTCGTGCAGGCCATCCGCTGTCTGCTCACCGCTCAGCTCGTTGGGCTCGACGAGGGCACTTGGGGCACGGGGCCTTTTCTGACATCCGACAGCCACATCTATTCGCCACGTTCCGTCTCGCGTCCCCGGCTGCCAGGTTTGTTACCAGGATCGTCATGCAACTGTCCAGAGTTTTTCTAGCTTCGGGGCCACACGTCGGGGTTTGTCGCATGCGCGCGGCCGACGCTGTTTGGTGGCTCGAAGAGAAGAGGCGTCAATGGAATAGCTCATGGCTGTGAGCCCGCGTGGGTACCTCGGGGATGGACAGGCATGGTGTCCCCCAGTAAGAGATGAGGCTTGACTGCGCATTGTGGTGTCAGTGGCAAGCGGTACGCCTTTGCTTGAGACACCCGCAGCTTCGTGTAGCGACCCTTGGCCATTCCTGAGCTCTCCTGGCCAGATGCACGGATGCTGCTGCAGTCGCCTCCGTGCTCGTGCCTGTGGGAGACCACGCTTCCCCGTCTCGGCGGCGAGCCAGGGGGGGAAGCGAGGAGGAGAAGGCCTTCTCAGAAGGTCCGGAAGGCCCCCGGCGTTCAAAGAGGCTTCCTATGCCTTCCTTGAAAGCAGAGCCAGCTTCCCAGAAGGCGCGAGGGCTTCTGAGAGCCGCCTTCCGAGAAGGCCTTCTCCTTCTCATTTCCCTCCCCCTCGCCCGCCGCCGACACTCGCACGGCACGCTGAGGCTGAGGCACATCGTGCACCCCTTCCCTTCGTTGCCTCCCACCGTGCTCACCTGCTCGCCTGCTCACGCTCGCCCGCTCGTGTAGATGGAGCCCTGCGCTCACGCCCACGCTGGCAGGTGCCCGCCGCGGTCTGGCCCCCCTCTCTCGCCGGGGAGGCGAGAGGATACGCCGACGAGCGTACCCCACTCGATTTGCCGCCCAGGGGTCGAGCAGGCCTACGTATTGTCTTGCAGTTGGCAGCACTTGCGCCGTCGTTCCCATCTTGCTGTTCGGCGCGCGCGCACATAGCTGAACTCATGTGGCCCATTCCCTGATTCATATCCCGATCCGCCGACCGTGGACGCTACCCTCAAGCTGGCTCAAAACAGGACCCTAGGACAACGCCCAAGAAAGCTATACATTTCAAATCGGCCTATCTCATGCTTTATACTCACCCCCATGATGACCCCACTTTTGAGCCCCTCCACGCTCCTATGGACTTTCTAGACTGGCTCTGTTACTCTCCAAGGTAGGCCAAGTGCCCGCTAAGATGTTCCAGAGGGCCACCTCGACGATTCCATGAGTGCCCAAGAGGCCCCAAGAGGACTCCGACACGGCTTCAACCTGCCAGGGTGGAGACTCGTAATGGGCCCCTAGGCAGCCAGCATTTGCCACACACCGCCTCACGACTCGGTTTTTTGGCTGTTATCGGGGTTCCTCATCTCTCGGCTCCAGATGGCTCCCAGGGGGGCCGAGGGTGAGCCAACAGGTGCCCAGGACAGCGCCGGCCGTGCCCCGAGAGCGTCCCAAGATGGCCGCACTGCCCTCAGGAGCCCCCAGGCGGCCCAACGGAGACCCAAGATGGCCCGGGTATGGACTGCGTCTGCCCCGCCAGAGCCCGGGAGGGTCTGGGAGCGCCCCAAGAGCTCCAAGAGATCTTTAGAGGACGTCCCCAGGATCGCCCCAAGATGGCCTCAAGAGGGCTCGAAGCGGGCCCAAGATCGCCCCCAAGACGGCCCCCAGCTGCCCCAAGCGGGACCCACGAGGATGCCAACGAGGCCAACGGTAGCGTACGGGGACCGACGATTGCTTCCCAACGTGGTCTTTGGAGGCAACAGGGGTGTCGCAAGGGGACCCCAGTACCCCAACCGAAAGAGGCCAGCAGGATGGTTTGGGGAACGCTCTGATTCTCCCGCTACTCCTTCGCCCTCCTCTTTCATGGTATGCTAATTGCCATCTCTTTTGATCTCCTTTGATTTTCAGCGCGTCAGTCGGTTTGCTACTCGCGCCTAGGCGTGTCAGGCTGACAGGGTGAGTTACATGTGACGCCCACCTGTGGACCCCTCAGCAACTTCCCTTTCTTATTCATGAGTTGGTGGCTCTTTCTCGTCCCTCCGCTCTTCTATCCGTGCTCTTCCTTGCCCTCCCTTCAGAGCGTTTAGCAGCGGGCTTTATTGAGTGGATCGTTTGGGGTGCCACTCGCGCACAGGTGTGTTAGGCTGTTGGGCTGACTTGCAGGTACGCTCCACTTGCGGACAGCATAGCCTCAAAACAGGCTCACCACCGCCTCAAGAGAGCTTCCAGACGGCTCCCCACCCCCCGTGCGTGCCGAATCTATTTCTATTAAGCTTGTTCGAAAGAGTGCGGTACGGTCGGATCGAGGTATGAGATCGAAGTAGGTTCGGGGAGGGTATCCTGATGTTCTTCGTGTTTGTTGGATGTTCTCGCGCATCAGGGGGGAGGGTACCCTTGGAAGTTTTGTCTGCCTTGGCCGGTGGAGGGTCTCATGTTCTTGAAGGATGTTCTTCTATCCTTGATCCGGCTGTAGACCACCCCCAAGATTGCCCCAATATTCCCCAGAGGCACTTCAAAGGCCACCAAGACGGCTCCGCGGCCACGTTGCCACATATGCAGCAGGGAGGAGGGAAGGAATCTTTGGGAGGCTTGGCGTGAAGAAGTGAGGATCGAAGGAGGCAAAAGAGATGGCAGGACTGCGAGGAGGGAGGGCGGTGTTGGGGGCACCTTCAGCTCGACTACACGTCAGAGTGACCTTTGATCAGAGTGACCTTTGGTGCGGATCGGGGTCCCCCCAATTGCGGAGCGCGATGTTTTCGCAGCCGCTTGCGCGCTTGGATTTGGCAACCTTGCGCCCCTTTCGTCCGAACACCAGAGGTAACTCTTGCCTAGGGTCACTCTTGCGTGTTGCCGACTTCAGCACATGGCTGTTCGAAGGTCTTGTGTTGATTATGATACATGTTTTGTTCGCATTCTCCGCTCCGATGCTGCAGACCCCTGATTATGGAAGCAGCCTGCTAGGAACTGCGCGCGCGAAGCAGACGCGTTGTTTGGTATGTGTATATGTATGAGTAGATCGATAAAACTTTCTGGGATGATGAGGTGATCGCGCCTGCATGTAGAGCGGCATATTTGGAAGTACGCCTGCGTCTAGAACGACGGTGTGATTGGGGAACCAGCTTAAGTGACAGCTTAATCATCCGCACCGCCGCCCATAGATGGGTGGACCTCCGTTCTTTGGGACCGTCGAGCGTCTGAATTGTTTTCGTCAGATGCCAGCGCATTCTTTCTCGCTCCTCCGCTTCCCTCCCCCCGCGGTGTCCTGCTGCGAGTGACGGGGGCAGGTCTACTAGACAGCCACAGCCATGGATCTGAAGGATGGCATCATTCACTCTTTGTTACACTGCTGTTCTTGAACCTTAGCTTCAGCATTGTCAGTGCCTTCGCTGTCTCTCTGGTGCAGATTGGCTTGGCTTGTATTCACGGTCACGAGCTGCGATTGTCAGCATTGTCCGGTCAGTGAGCCTGCCAGTCCCTCAATGCATGCTGTACGTTTGCTACCGCGAAGCGCAGTTGTCATATGCCTTTAAACATCAGACCCTTTTCGGCCTCTGAGGGCCCTGTTCGTCGCCATTATGTTTGAAACGCTGCCTCGAATGAAGTCTACCTGGGAAAGCTGCGGCCGATGTTTAGCAGGCTTGTTGCGAAGGCAAGCAAACCCCGTTCGCTCTTCGAGCTATTGAGTGGCGGTTAGGCCATGGAGAAGCTGTCCCAGGTCTCGCAAGCGGTTTGGACAGAGTACGATGGCGAGGTCAGGCAGGGTGTTAAATTTACGTTCAACGCAGTTCCGTCGCTTAGTAAGCGACGGTTTTGTCGCGCTATGAGAATCTTCACCAGTTCATTTGGAAATGGCTCCAAGGAGAGCTGATGTCTGGCTGGCTGCTGGGGTTCTGCAATGGAAGAAAGAGGGGACGTCGGTCAAATCAAGCCAGGGGGGGCAGCACATTCAGGCCTGTGAGATATTGAATCGCTTCGCTCATTCCGCCGGCCCAAACTGCTGCTACATGCAGGCGTGCCCATGGTGGGTGAGAAGGAGGATAGGGGATTCGACGGCTTCTTGGGGAACTGTGGGGACCAAAGTGGGTCGCGGACAAGACATCTCTTTGGAAGGCTTCTTGGGTTCTGTTGGGAGGCCTTTTTCTTGGAAAAGGCGGTGGCCCAGTGTTCTCTTTTAGTGGTTTTACCCTTGGCCTCGACTTGCGTAGGGCCTGTGAACTTATTTCGATGAAAAACAAGGTCGCGTAGGACCGGCGGATTAACAAGTTGAGGATGCCCCGAGCGAAACGCTGGTTTTTGAAATTTCGATAGATAAAACACATGGTAAAGTACACATTTTCGTTTGTTGCGGATGTCTCGAGCGAAGCGCTTGTTTGGCAGAATTTGTTTTGGATGTCTCGAGTGAAACGCTTGTGTTGTGTTAAAACTCATTCCTCTCCTGAGGACAAGAATTCAGAAAACGTCTCAGGTGAAATGCTTGTTTTCACGTGCTCAGGTCTTGAAGCTGTCTCGAGCGAGACGCTTGGTTTCACGCGTCGAGGTCGCCCAGGCAGATGTCTAGCATGAGGATTTGTTGAGGATGTCTCGAGCGAAACGCTTGTTGTCACTCGTCCAGGTCGCCCAGGCAGATGTCTAGCGTGAGGACTTGTTGAGGATGTCCTGAGAGAGACGCTTGTTTTCACGTGTCCATGTCGCCCAGGCGGATGTCTAGAATGAGGATGTGTTGAGAACGTCTCGAGCGAAACGCTTGTTCTTACGTGCCCAGGTCGCCCAGGCGGGTGTCGAACATGAAGATGTGTTGAGGGTGTCTGCAGCGAGACGCTTGTTTTCACGTGTCCAGGTTGGCCAGGCAGATGTCTCACATGAGGAGGTGTTGAGAACGTCTCGAGCGAGACGCTTGTTTTCACGTGCCCAGGTCGCCCAGGCGGATGTCCAACATGAAGATGTGTTGAGGATGTCTCGAGCGAACCGTTTGGTTTCACCTGTCCAGTCGCCCAGGCGGATATCTAGCATGAGGATGTGTTGGGGATGTGTTGAGCGAACCGTTTGTTTTTACGTGTCCAGGTTAGCCAGGCAGATGTTGCACACGAGGAGGTGTTGAGAACGTCTCGAGCGAGACGCTTGGTTTCGCGCGTCCAGGTCGCCCAGGCGGATGGCTAACATGAGGATGTGTTGAGGATGGCTCGAGCGAGACGCTTGTTTTCACGTGTCCAGGTCGCCCCGGCGGATATCTAGGATGACAGTGGCTGTGACCACATGCGTCCCGCGCCACCCAGTGCGGCGTTTCGTGGCCCCTTTGGAAGCTCCACCGTAGGCCCCAGTGGTTGGGACCACATGCGTTCCGCGCCACACAGCGCGGCGCTTTGTGGCCCAGGGAGCTCCCCCGAAGGCCGCCGTGACTGTGACAACATGCACCCAACGCAACCCAGAACGGCGTTTCGTGGACCCATAGGGAGTCCCACCGAAGGCCCGAATGGTTGTGACCACATGCGTCCCGCGCCACACGGTACGGCGGTTCGTGGCCCCATATGGAGCTCCACCGAAGGCCACAGTGGCTGTCATCACACGTGTCTCGCGCCACTCAGTACGGCGTTGCGTGGCCCCGTAGGCAGCTCCACCGAATGCCCCAGTGGCTGTGACCACACGCGTCCCGCGCCACCCAGTAAGGCGTTGCGTGGCCCCGTAGGCAGCTCCACCGAAGGCCCCAGTGGCTGCGACCACATGCGTCAGCGCCACTCGGTACAGCGCTTCGTGGCCCCAAAGGGGGCTCCACCGAAGGCCCCACTGGCTGTGATAACATGCGCCTCC